TTTTTTTCCTTTTGTTTTGTTTTTTTGTTTTTGTTTTTGTTTTTGTTTTTTGGTTTTTTGTTTGTAGTGGTTGAATCTTGGATGGATGAGCTTAATTTTGTCAAATACCGGATTCCTAAGAGAGCTTAATCTACCAATGTCGTGCTCTGTTGACTCTTTAGCACGTTTCACTAAATTTATTTGAAAAACTTCAAGAAATAATGGGTGGTGAAATGGGTGACTTGCATTTTTCATTTGCCCAAGCTAGGCGTAAGAATAAAATATTTTTCTTTGGTATCATTAGATGATTACATCTGCAAATTATTATTCTAGAGTTTGCGAAGTCCTAGCTATTATGTTCATTCTTCAATTATATGTCATGTATAACATACTTTCTGATTTTTTTTCCATGATCAGTGTCAGTAAAAGTAACGAAATATTGTTTACCAGAGTTAATACTCCAAATAGCCACTGAACTTTGTCAAAAGTTTTTAAGAGGTCATCGAACTTCGAAACTTTCCTAAATAGACACTGAACTTTGCAAAAAGCTCTCAAGATGTCACTGAACTTCAAAATTTTCCTAAATAGTCACCGAACTTTGCAAAAAATTCCTAAGAGGTCATTGAAATTTGAAAAAAGTTTTTAGAAGGTCACTAAATCAGTGGTGTATGTGGTCTCAATTTGCAAAGTTGAGGACCTTGTAGGAAATTTTTGTAAAGTTCAGTGACTATTTAGGAAAATTTTGAAGTTCAGTGACCTTCGGAAGCTTTTTGCAAAGTTCAGTTACTATTTATGAAAGTTTTGAAATTCGGTGACCTCTTGAATTTTTTTTTTGACAAAGTTCAGTGACTATTTGAGGAATTATCCCTCGTTTACCATCATTAGAAGTTGGATTTATTGGCCCTCAACTGTGAGAATGAACTAGCTCGAATAGTTTTTTTTACTCTTCACGATTTTCCTATCACAAAAGTACCCCAATGTTTTTTGGTAACCACGCATTCTTTACAAACTCTCAATAGACACTAAAATTGGGGAAGACCCAATACCATAATCTTCTGCTGCAATATTTTCAACCTACCAAAGTTTGAGTACCCGCTAGATAAAACGCCTGCCAACCCACCTCCTTCAATTTGGAAGAGAAGCTTGAATGGGTTGTCTTGTGGAGCTACAACAGTTACCCTTCCTTCTTTCCCACACGAGAGAGTCCTCAGATTCCCTTGATATTACTTCTAGAATCCCACACATTCCTAGGTGTTTTTGCAAAAAAGGAAAAAAATTGTTTCCAAACTAAAATCAATAGCTTGGAAACACTAAAGGAAATATTACCTTCAAAGAATGTACATTTTTTGTTGTTGATCACATTCAACGATCAAAATCCATTGATTGTTCGTTGGTCGGCAAAGAGGTGTTGGCGATTATATTCAACGATTAAAAATACATTTGGTCGTTATTTTAGCAACTAAGGCCTTGTTTGAATCACATTTTTTCAAAAAAATACATTATTCGATAGTGATTTGACATCATCTCAACCACATATTCTTCAATAAAATAATATTACATGTAAATTCAAAATTTTTCCTTATTTCTTAACCACACATTTTCCATCAATACACTATTCAAAAATACATTTTCATTCCAATAATATGGCTCAAACAAGAGCTAAATAATTGGTCGTAAAAGATTTGTGTTGACAACTGATTCTTTTTTCAACAACCAATTGTTTGGTTGTTTAATAATTGTTTTTGTCGTTAAAATACAATAAAAGCAACCAAATTTTAGTTATCTTTCATTTCAACAACCAAAGAAATAGTTGTTAAAAATTAATATAGACAACCAATTAATTTTGTTTCAATAACTACTTGATTTGTCGTCGTATTAATTATTTTTGTCGACAAAATATCATTGAAGCAACTAAAATTTAATTGCCTCTATTTTCAACAACGAAAGAAGTGGTTGTAAAATGTTTATATTAACAAACAAAATATTAATCGTCAACAATAATATTCATGATTCTATAACTTTTACACATTTACGCCATACTACAAATAAACCTTACTCACAACTATAAACAATTATAAGAAGTAAATGAAAGCAGATATAAAGAACATTAAGAAGAACTAAAATTTTTTTAGGCCTTCAATCAATTACAATATCCCAACATCAATTACAACTAGATGTTAATTATATCAAATATCATTACTTAGACAAAGAAAATACACCCAGTTCAATCATTACTGTTCTCAACATAAAAAACAAATAGATGTAGAGTTAGAGACTGTTGCCTCGATCAAATAAAAATATGTAACATTACTACGTCACCAAAAATAAAGTAAAAAACATATTAATTATCACAATTTAAACCATTGGATGAAGACACATCAGATTGGATAGGCCGAAGAAACTCCTCAGGCTTAAAGAATATTTGGACAGATTTCAATTGAGAAGGAAGATTATGAACCTCATTCTGTAAAGCAACATTCTCTGCACAACTACCACAAATTTCCAACATTGTCTTCTTTGAATTTTTCTGTTCATCAACGTAGCTAAATCTCTTATTCAAAACTTGCTCACATATTTCAGATTCTTCTAAAGGCATATGTTGTTCATTCGGATCTAGTTGAGAATTTTGTTCTTGTAAAAGGTTGACCATTTAATTCCGAGGATCCATGTAAATTATAAATAAAATATTAGATTTTTGGAATATTTATTATACAATTATAACAAATAAAACTACTTACATAATGGGACTCCGCCTCTTTAGTTGTCCACCCACGTTCATTGCTACAATACATCTCATTAAAAATTTGATGCGATCCGGTAGCTCTTTTGTAAGCGGATCCATCTGCTTGAAAAAATAGAATTGATGTATAAAATTCATGAAATATAATATTTAACATCTTTCTGACTTACCATTTCATGTGCATGTACAGCATAAGATTTTGATCCTTGAAGAGTTACCATTTTTTTGCACGGTTTTTGCCTAGCTCGCTTCAGATTTTTCTGCAATGAATATTTATTACAATTATAATCAAATTTAAAAATCATATGCATCATAAAACACATAAAAGGAAGAGAAAAACACTTGGAAACACACTAGATCATAACGTTAAGAGCCAAACCAATCTAAAAAAAACTAGACTTAACTCAAGTAATATGTGAATATAATTATTTTTCCACACTTATGAAAAGGTTCCATTTAACAACTACAAAAAGAATAATTCTTCATCAGCCATAGCTTTTAAAGGAACTTTTGCAGGTAATGATGTAAATCTTTCAGCTCTTGTTTGAGTCTGGGAAAACAAAGCAAAATACAAACTTTCTTACCAGTCCATTGCTTATCACAAGATCAAGCTTGCAACCTTGCTTCAACCCATCTATCTATTTCCATTACTTCACCCCTATTGACACATACAACATTTTTATGAAACAAATGTATAAATTTAATCTTTTTTACGTTAAAAATAAGAATGTCCAGTTTGTTTTCTATTGCACTTATTCCTCAGAAATTCGGTGCTAGTATCATTTGAATATATATGTTAATACAGTGTAGTTCAATACTAGATTGGATAATG